TTGCAATGACGTCGGCCAACGTGGCCTTGCCCTCCAAGTACAATCGAACGTCCTTATTTAGACAACTCACAATGCACCACGCGCGCTGGTCCGCTGGCATTTCAACGTTGTGCATGCGGTACAGCTCGTCCAAGTACTGCAGGACGTACACGCGGTTGTACGTGCACCCGTAGTAAAACGGCGTCTTGAGCTCGGCGTCGACTTGGTCGAACCGGTGGCCGTCGACTTCGATCAGGCGCTTGAGGGTGCCCAAGTCCCCTTGCTTGGCAGCGTACCAGATCGAGATGGGCGTCGCGTCAGTCATGGCAGGGTATTGCTACCTTGGCAAGTGGCCGAATGGGCTCTTCACCGTCCTCGACCAGAGCTGGCACTTCGCACCAACACGCACATTCCAAGAAAATTCCATTGTGTACGACTCAATGCGTGGAATGTCAAACACGTCGTTGTCGTGTACCCCGTTGTATTTCATCCAACTATGAGTACACCACCACAACGAATATCACAATGTTCACTAGGTAGTTGCGGTATGGCCAGAGAGACTTGTCGGAGCGCCGCTGTGGGGGTGTGCGAGGGCCAAGAGACCCGATGGGCTTGATCCATACCCTAATGGATTGGCTAGTGCTGCAGCAGCATTGCGTGGATGGCCGAGGTGTATTCCGCTAACATGACGAGGAAGCATTTTCTCACGCCTTGTAACAAGAGGACTCGGTGAACTCGACCACATGCAAGCATGCTGTAGACTAGATGACGCTTGGGGATCATGGATACCCTCGCTTTGTCATGTCCACGTTGGGCCAGCAGCGCTTCCAGCACATGGACTCAAAGTGTTTTCTGGTGGTGAAAGCACGTCAAATGCGCCGCTCGTGTTGATATTGCAAGAAATGAAGAGGCCGTCTCGCTTGGTTGCGTGGAGCAGGAGTGACACAGCAATTTTCAACATTACGTCGTTCACGTGCATGGGTTCGCCACGAAGGATACCGGCACCGACTGGCCAAGAGCACGTCGAAAGGCCACACAAACAGTCCAAGCGACAATGCACACTTATGCCGCATGATGATCGTCGGTCATGCTCATGAGCACGTTGCCACGGTCTTGAGTTTCAGTCGCGGTGCGAACTGGCGGCCACCATCATCCTCAACTGGCTGTTGCCGTTTCTTAAAAAAGGAGGAGGCACCCTAGGCGTATTCGCGTACATGGAGGGGTTTGCCCATGGAATGCGATTCCACGACGACTGCTCGTGGACTGACCTGCTGCGTGGTCCGTCGTCGCCGAAGGCTTTGGCAAATCGACGGCCTGTCAGCCATCACTGCCCAGTGCGGCCCAAGTTCTTGCTTAGCCCTTGGAGGCATCTTGGGTTTTGCTTCGAGGCAGGTGAAACAAATGAAGCCAAGATGAATTAAGGTATACCACATGCACATTCGTCCATTTATGGCGTCGTCTGTGCAGCTTTTTCCAGCAACATGACGTCTTTCATCGTCAATTCGCCGTCCAGAACCTTGACCACGTTTTGAGAGGACGTGGCTTTCCGTGCAGCATCCAGTTCGACGTCGAATGCGTCCGACGCCAAGTGTTGCTTGAAAAAGTCTTTCAGCATCGCAGTGGTCGCCAACTGGTTCGCTTCTGCCGCCAAAACGAGAGCCGACTTGGACGACGACTCGTCGCCCTTCAACACACTCTCTTCGTCGTTCTTGAGGAACCAGCGCAAACGTGACGTGTTGCCTTGGGCCGCCGCCTCCGCCGCCGACAATTGCTCGTCCTTGGCAGCCTTTTCGCGTTTTGCAATGACGTCGGCCAACGTGGCCTTGCCCTCCAAGTACAATCGAACGTCCTTATTTAGACAACTCACAATGCACCACGCGCGCTGGTCCGCTGGCATTTCAACGTTGTGCATGCGGTACAGCTCGTCCAAGTACTGCAGGACGTACACGCGGTTGTACGTGCACCCGTAGTAAAACGGCGTCTTGAGCTCGGCGTCGACTTGGTCGAACCGGTGGCCGTCGACTTCGATCAGGCGCTTGAGGGTGCCCAAGTCCCCTTGCTTGGCAGCGTACCAGATCGAGATGGGCGTCGCGTCAGTCATGGCAGGGTATTGCT